CAAGTCATAAAACGATACTACAATAGAAAAGCACGCCTCAGGTTCTTCAAAATTGGGGACTTCGTGCTTAAAATGGTTTTTCGGTCTACAAAGGTAGCTAACACATGGAAATTAAGTCCAACATGGGAAGGACCCTACAGAGTGTGTGATGTTGCAGGAAAAGGAGCATATGAACTGGAGACAATGGATGACAAGATACTACCTTCGCATTGGAATGCTGTTCATTTAAAGAGATACTATTTCTAAAGAAAATCCACGGTCAGGTATAACCATTTTAAATCTCATTTTTGAATTGTTAAAATTTTACTAACGATTTTAGATGATAGGCAAAATGCTAACCCGTACTAAATGATGAGTCACGACCTGCAAGGCACATGGAGTAACCTAAAATTCCTGGCCTAGGGTTACAATTATTCTGATAGAAATACAAACGGGTTATGCAGTCTTCATCTATAATCGTCCCTCCGAGTCCCGTATGTTTTTCCTTTTCAGGGAAAGGACCAAATGTGAGAAACTATCAAGTGCTCGAGGCTTCATACTTCAAACACTTGGGGGACAACATAATATACACGGACATGTGTATAAAGAAGGCAAAGAAGATTAAGGAAAAATCAAGCCTAAAAGAGTCAAGTAAAGTGTAGAGTAAAAGTCATAAAGCCACGAGCTAAAGCCAGTCAAGTGTAGAGTAAAAGTCATAAAGCCACGAGCTAAGGCCAAAGAAAAACCTCACTAGGGATAAAGGCTTTGTATTAAAATGGGTTATAAGAAAAAACCCCGTGTCTATTATTTATTGTTTTTTAAATTTGTTACAAGAAAAACAGTTACGATAAAGTTATGGATGTAATTCAAATACATGTAAAGTTTTATTCGGAACTAGACAAGTTTCAAAAATAAAAACTTGTCCAAGTTATTTCAGAAAAACATGTGTGTTCCTCTTTCTTTTGTCATATGATAATACCATTATGAAGTTGAGACGTCTTCTTCATTATTGGAATATAAAAGGGCTATCTTTTGTAAAACTCATGTTTAAATTAATCATGAGGTTAACAGAAGCATTTTTCAGAAAACAAAAATGCAAATTATTCTGTAAGTCCTTAAAAATAAAGGCGAGAATAAAGCAAGCAGAAGTTTAAGATAAAAAACTTCTTAATATTTAAAAAAACATCTAAGACTAATTTCCAACTTAGTCATCAAACTACGAAATTGTTTAGATTACCCCATTAAAAGACTTGGGGATTTACGTTCCTAAAATCAACCCTCAAATGAAGTTAAGGGTTTGATTACTATCTTCCAAAGTCAAAACAAAAATAAAATCATTTGAATGATTAAAATTGGTCACTGAGAAGTTTGTGGTATTGAGGCAGGAACATCGATAGCAGCAGGCTAAATTTGGGCAGGTGCATCAGCAGACTTCAACTTGACTTGCAGCAACGAGTTCGATCGGGTTTGAAATAGTAATGACACCCGTATCAGCTTCAACGTTCATAAAAGCTTCAGCCACGGGAACTTCATCCACATGAGAAGGGAAATCTTGAGTCTGTTGAGTCTTTTCAATAGTTTCGTTGATTTTAGCTAACTCTAACTCCAGGTTGAAGTTTTCTTGGCTAGCTTCAAGTAGGGTATCACGACGGGAATTCAAAAAATCTCAACTTGCCTCAACAGCAGATTTTTCTTCAAGGATCTCATAATCCTTTTCCCAACAGTGATCTCATTTTTTAGCTCTTCATTTTCAGCCAAGGCAGAGCTGTGGGAAGCTTGAAGAGAGGAGTGGGAGCATTCTAAAGCACGCACCTTATCAGCAGATATTCTGAGGTCTTCTTGTGCTTGAGTCAAATTCTACACAAGCTCCCCAGAGTAAACTTCCTTTTGATTTAAAAGAGCCTTTAACTCTCTGATCTCTTCACTAGATTTAGATAGCTGCTCTGAAAAGGAGGACTGGAGACGCTCTTTGTCTTTCTCTGCTTTGTGTGAAGAAGCTTTTGTAACCGCCAATTATGAGGTTAAGGCTCGTACTCGCTGCTCTAAGGTATTCTTGTTCTCTTGCAAGCTCTCTATGTCAAGCTGAGCACTCTCAAATTGCCCCTTCCAATTGGTTGCTTCCAGTTGAGAGTTACTTGCTGTCTTTTCTAAAGGAGCAATTCTTTTCATCAACTCTGTGCCGATGAGATTAGCCTAAAAAGAAAATAGAAGAAATAAGAATCTCAAAGATGAAAAATTTTGCAAAGTGGGAGAGAAGGAAAATACCTTCAGAGTGGCATGCACAATGTCATTCATTAAAGTCAGGGAACTATGGCTTTCCAGCTTTGCTTTTTCAAATTGGGCCAATAAGAGGCTCTAGCCATATATCCACCTGACCTAATTTTCTCAAAAGGCTATTCTCAGTAGGAATTTCAATAGTTACCTTCCTCATAGCGGCACTCTTACTTAAAGAGCCCGTTTCAGTATGATGAACTATAGGGGGGGGAATAGCTAAAGGAGGAGCAGGAGAAGAGGTAAGAGCAGTAGAAGAAGGAACGAAAATAGTTGGGGCCAGTAAAGAAGGAATTACAGGCACGAGTAATGAGAAAGATGATAAAGGTACTTTGTCTAAAATATGCCCAACATCTTCACGACCAAATCCACTGACAAAAAGTTGGTCGATAGACTCACGAGTGTCGTAGGGAGTGATGTCATCATCGGAAATTATTATTGGGGTTTCAACAGGTTCGGTAAAAGAAACTGAGACTTCAGCTTCGTCATCGGAAACAATGTGTCTCCTAACTCGTGGCCTCGTTACCAACAAGCTCTCATTTTCCTCTTCTTCAAAATTTTTCTCTTCAGCAGCCATCCTTTTCGCAGAAGAGGAACCCAAGACTATTTCTCGGGCTCTCTCTAGAGAGATACGAGTTCCCGAAGGAGTACGGGTCCCCAAAGAGACACGAGAGGCTGCAACTGCTTCCGCAGTAACCCCTCGAATAGCAAATCCTGACAAAAAGAAGGATAAAAGTTAAAACAATAAAGGAGAATATAGGCATACAAAAAAATGTGAACTCTTATCGTGAGTCTTAACCTTCCAACCAAAGCAGTTAGAAAGTGTTTTCCAAGATCTACCGTCCATTGGCGCGATCTTCAACAATTTATCTACCCAACCACGGAAATTGGGAACATCCCCCACAACTCCCATGGTTGCTATAAATAAAAACAAAAGGGGGGGGGGGTAAAATTAGTAAAGTTGATAAATTTGAAAGAAGAATGTACGAGAGGGATAAAAGACGTACGTGCAAAATTCCACTTCTCAGGAAAGGGGACATTATATTCACCCATTAAACCAACAGTGGGTGTAGCAACAAATCGGGCATACCAGCCACGCTCATTGTCATCTTCAGGGCTCACCAAAACCCTCTTACTCCTGGCCACTAGTGAAAAAACACCATTACGAAAAAGCCTAGGTGAGTAAAGATGAATCAAGTGAGGGAAAGTAAAAGGAGCTTCAGCTCTAGTGGCTAAATGCCTTAAACAGGCAACTGCCTTCCATATGATTGGGCCAATTTGACCCAAGCAGACATTGAAGAAACGACAAAATTTGAGAATGACTGGGTCAATTGCTGGTCTAAACCCTAAAGTAAAAGGGTAAGTGTAAACAAAAGAGAAACCCGTTAAATAGGAAGTAATTCTCTGATTCGGATTAGGGATAATAATGGGAAAATCTTTACTCCAATGGCAGTCCTTACAAACCACAAAAGTCAAAACCTCTGTAATTTGAGTAGGGTAAGTATCGACACGATCTAATGCGGAAACTTGGTTTCTAAGAGATTCCATGTCATGGTAAAAAGACAATTCTGAAGGAACTATCTCATCTACTAACGATTCGCGTAAAGGTTCAGAATGGTCTTTACCCCTAGAAAAAGATTTTTGAGAAAGGGAATCTCTGGTTCTAGAGGAAGGACCAGAACTAGAAGAATGCATAGACGAACCACCTCCTCGAGTAGATCCTAAACTACGAAGTCTACCTCCCCTTCTAGGCCTAACAGGGGCATTAGGGAAGGAGTCAGTAATGGAAACTCTCTCAGGGTTAGGGCTTAGAGAAGACATAGCGAAGAGGAATGGTCTAAGGAAGAAGTCAACAAAGATTTGGAGAAATAAGTGTTCAATAAGCTTTATGTGATAAAGACAAAGGAAAAAATTATATTTATACCGATAAGCAACCGCCAAAGGTAAAAGTGCAGAGGTGGAAATACCGTAATTATTATAACTAGCACTTCGTTAATAGTGGCACCGTAAAAACCTTGAAAAAAGGCTGCAAAATTGCAGAGCCAATGGAAAATCGACACGTGCATGAAGTATTAAATGGAAGTGACAATTGAAGCGTCAGTTTTGTCATAGCATTAATGGTGACAAAAATTTTCGTTTTAATGAAATCCACTTCCCAAATATTCAATTGATGAATAAATGAAAAGTGGGGGGACTATTTGTATTGGAAAAAATTGAATTTATATATATTGAGACACGTGGACTGGTTAAATAGTCAAAGAATTATAATTAGTCAAGAGTCACGGGCAGCAATAGAAATGAACAAAGGCAAAGGAAGAGGCACGGGAGGACATTTGAAGGATTCAGCGCCCGTACCTATTTAGATCATTTATCAAAAGGAACGGATCTGACCATAATAAAGAGCGCAGATACGGAATTCGATAGGAATTAAATACCGGATACGTTAGAGATTTATATTGATTACAATGATTGTGTAACGTAGCATTTAATGTCTTTAATTATTCATAATAGCCTCATTATGATTTGAAGGAAACGCATACCTTCAAGACACCTATAAAAGGGAGGTATCTAGTCACTTGTAAGGACATGCACAATTGAAATATACTCTGATTCACTTGTTTTTCTCCTGATTACATTCTGGTTACTCCAAATTATTCTCTTCTACATATTCTTTTGATTATCAGTAACCCGCGTTCTTCTAAATTCTAGATTTGACTAAAATTCTATTTTTGGTTAAATAGTGAACTCACCTGAAACGTTGCCCCAATAACAGTAGCGGATTTCTCCCCAACACCTATAGCACTTAGAAGAGACTATATTTGTTTGAGCAGGTAAATTAACCTTTCATATCATAAGTAACTCACAGTAATACTGATGTTCACTTGCTTGTGTTGAGAGCATCATCCGCTCAAAGGTAGAAAGCCTCTGCATCAATCCAAATCTGCAACTGTAGCATTCAGTTCAGCATCATCTAAATTGAACACTCAATATGCTCATCCTTCTTCAAATCATTCTTCTCAAACATGCGACAAAGCACAAAGGCACCCTGCACCATGCAAATCACATATTCCAGTATGAACTACAGTCAAACCTCAGCCTAGTTTGTTCTTCCACTACTCTTTTTGTCGTCTTTACTCTTTCTCAGTTCTCCCAATACTTTTATCTTTTTTCCAAGAGATCCTCTTGTGGCAAACAATATGAATACCATAGATTAAAAAGAGGTGAATCAAATATGAATATTATTTTTAAATATGCCTTCAAACCAAATATGAATACCATTTCTAAACATACTTATACATCAAATAAATAATATAAACACTACTTAGGTATGCAATACTATTACCTTCAGATAAAGCAACATATTAAATAAATTTTCTATTCAGTGTGTATGTATCAGCTGCTAAGTTAGTAGCAACAATTGTCTCTACTACATCATCAATTATATAGTCCGTAGCTAGTTGTACATACTCATCACCGTCACCAAAAAACTGTTCGAGTTCTTGCTCTTGGTATGGTTCATTCTCATATACTTCATCTTCCACTACTTCTTCTCCCATATCATATAGATCTCTTGGCTTTAGATGCATAGCAACACTCCACCATTTATTGACAACATCATCCACATAGTACACCATTTGTGCTTGAGATGCTTCGATGTACGGCTCATGTTCTTCATGTTCACCGGTATGAATTACTCTATCAAAATTAACACAATTTAAGTTCCAATGATCCTTTTTATACCCTCTATGTCGAGCAGTATCAGCCCAACTACATTTGAAAAGAACAACCTTGAATCGACCATAATAATTAATCTCAAGGATATCTTCTAACTTCCCATAATATGGTAACTCTCCTTGCCTTAAATTACCGTCAATACTACTTGCAACACATGATGTTTTAGAAGTTAAGAAAACTCCACTATTCTGTATTCTTAGACCTTCTTCTCGAGCCAAAGTTCGAAATTGGGACTCATTGATGTTATATGCGGTAAAATGTCTTGCAACTACCGATGGACCTTGTGCGAGAAACTTTAGATCAATGGACATTGTATCTATTGTGTATGGATTCATAATCTAAATCAAAAAAAAATTGTCTTAGTGAAGTTTGCACATTCAAACCAAATGTAAACAATAACTAATGATTACTTATTCACCCGCTTTTGGAACTAATCAACAAACTCTTTATTAACTCTCCTCTCTATCTCTGTAGGTGAAGGTCTTCTTCATGAACTGCCCCTTATGTATTGTCTAAACTTGCTATATGAAATAATTACATTAATGTTAAAGAACAAGACTAGACTACTCAAATATTACAATGATAAAGAATATAAAGTTTGTATGAGTTACTTACTCCACAAATAGCATGACTATTGCACAATTAGAAGCACATATCGATGAGCTTTTAGTTTCTGCATATTAGTTAAAGGGAATGTAATCGAAGTTGATGCAGGTTTACCTAATTGAGTAAATATAGAAGACGTTCCAGAAGGCTCTGTGACATTTGGGTCATCTCGAACATGCCTAGGTCTATTGAATCTTGTCTCAATATCCTTAATATACCAAAAACAAAAGGTAAGAGACTCTTCAGCTAAGTAACCCTCAGCTATAGAACCCTTTGAATGTGCTTTATTCCGCATAAAGGACTTAAAATGTCCCAACTCCCTACAAAAATAATATGACATAAGTGTACAAACTAATTCAAGTGACCAGAATGCAAGTATCTTCAAATTAGAAATGTTAATGTTTTACCTTTCGACGGGATACATATTTCGATGATGCACTGGACCTTCGAGTTTTGCTTCCTCTACTAGATGGACAGACAAATGAACCATTACTGTAAATAATGTTGGAGGAAATAGTATCTCTAGGTAGCAAAGTGTGCTTTCAATGCGCTCTTGGAGCTTATCAAGCTCTGAAACATTCAAGGTTTTGCTAGAAAGGGCTCTGATAAATGAGCAGAAGTCCACAAAAACTGCAACTACATGGTCGGGCAATACATTGCGGGTTGCCAATGATAGCAATTGCTCTAAAATAATATGGCAATCATGACTTTTCAACCCAAAAATCTTTTTTTGTACCAAATCAACACATCTAGAAATGTTACTTGAGTAGCCATCTAGTACTTTAATATTCTTCAAAGTTGTAAAGAACAACTTTTTAGTGTCCACCTTCTTTTTGTTATCAGTCATAAGTGAAAACACGATAAGGTGATATTTCCCACTATCATCCGGTCAAAAATCACGCCTTATGCCCATTTCTCTTAGATCCTTTAGGGCACTAATATTATCTTTTGATTTCGATTTATCACGGAGCATCGTATATATGATATTGTCACATATATTTTTTTCGATATGCATAAAGTCTATATTATGACGTAACAAAGTAGATTTCCAATAAGGAAGTTCAAAGAATATACTTTTCTTGTTCCATTGCTTAGTTGCTAGTCTAGATCTTTTCCCTCTACAATTCAACTCTGCTCCTCTCCCTTCTTCGATTTGTCTCAAAATGGCAGACCCTGACAATTTTAATGGTGGATTTCGCTCCTCTGTACTTCCATTAAAGTGTACTCTGTTCAACTTAAACCTATAATTTCTTCTCAGAAAAGTCGATGACCCATAAAGCACCATTTTTTACTATGACGAAGACGACAAGGTTCTGTGTCAAAGTTACACGTTGGGCAGGCAAAGCCAGTATATGTGTTCTAGCCAGATAAGATACCTAATCCAAGAAAGTTACTGATTGACCACATAAGAGCTGCATGCATTCTAAAATTTTCATTCAATGATGAGTCAAACGTTTCTACACCATCATTCCATAACTCGTGTAATTCCTTCACGAGGAGTTGTAAGTACACATCTATATTATTTCCAGGCATGTGCTTCCCTGGAATGTTCATTGATAAGATGAAGGAGGTATGCTTCATACACATCCAAGGAGGTAGATTGTATGGAATCAAGAAGACTGGCCAAATACTATAGGTAGTACTTATTGTTCTAAAAGGACTGAAACCATCACTAGCAAGGCCTAAGCGAACGTTTCGAGGATCCGAATCAAATCTAGAATGAGTCCGATCAAGTGTCTTCCATGCCTCACCATCCCTTGGATTCCTCATCAACCCATCAGCATTATTGCTTGAAGCATGCCATCTCATATGTTCATCAGTCTTACAACACATAAATAATCGTTGCAATCTTGGTTTCAATGGAAAATAACGCAAAACCTTTGCAACTTGCTTTTTTTTTCTTGTTAGGATTCCATTTAGATGTACCACAATGCTTACATGCTTCCAGTTCTGAATCACCTTCCCAGTATAGCATACAAGTATTTGGACATGCAGGTATCTTGGTATAGTCAAGGCCAAGTTTGCTAATGGTTTTTTTGGCCTCATAAAAGGAAGGAGGTAACTTTGCATCTTCAAATGCATCTCTCAACAAATTTAGTATCATAGTCATTGACTTGTCACTTAATCTACAATAGACCTTTATATGATACAATTTTATTAAAAACTCTAGCTTTGGAACTTGCTGCCTTCATACAATGTTTCACTTCCATCTTTGAGAAAATCATGAAAGTCACCAGAATCCTCCCTATGCCCCTCATTTGATATTTCATTTGAGTCCAATGGTTGAGATATCCCTACATCAGCCGTTTGGTGCCTATAATACCCAAATGTATCATTAAACATTGTTTCTATTGGATTTGTTGGGTGAAACATCTCTATCTCCAGATGGCTCTACTGCCTGTTTCTCACCGTGAAGATTCCAAATAACATAATTTTAAGGGAATGGCTTGCAAATCAAATGATCCTGCACTATCTCTCTAGTTTGCCACTTGCCAAAGCCACATTTAGGATATGGGCATCTAATTGTATATTCCACAACCGCATTCTTAAAAGCAAAATCAAGAAATTTATCCAAACCAAGCCAGTATTCGTTTGTATTCTGTGGCTTTCCAATCCATGATTTATCCATTGAAAGATGATAAATAAATTAACATGAACCCTTTTAGAATATACCTCCAAAAGCAATCCTCCAGTCCATGGGTACCTCCAGATTTTACTATCCTTCCAATCTACTCCAAGAATTTCAAATGCTTTTTCAAACAAAGTTAATTCCATAAATTGACAGAGGAAAGAAAGAACCAATGAAGAATTCCCACAAAGGACCCCTTATATATCAGTTTGCTCATATAGCGAAGGATAACAAGCAGTAGAAAAAAGAGGGTCAGAACTACAAACGAAGAAAACCTAAGAATTTCGATATTTCCCACGGCTGCCGCTTTCCTTGCTTAAAATAAATCGTCATCGCTTCCAATTATTTAAAAGCTTTAGAAAAAATTATGACAATTAGTATTATACGGATATAGGGAATTTTCCACTCTTATGATAAAGAGCTTTAAAGAAGCTAGAAAGTTTTTAAAATTTTTTAAAACCAAAAAGTGCAAGGATTTTTCTTTCATGTAAAATTTTAGAAATGGAAAAATAACGTTTTGGGTTAAGAAAGAATAACTTTGGGGCACTAAATAGCTTTTCCTCTATTCATTTATTTTAATTCTTACTAATTTTAGGAATCTATATAAATAATTATAAAATTAAAATTAAATAATAATATTAATAATAGATTTAAATTATAAAATAAAAATTTAAAAAATATATAAGCTCTTGAAAATAACTAATATTGATATATTTAGCAAGATCATAGGAAGAATCTTGTCAAATTTCTCTAACAAATGAATGATTAAAGTTTTATTCATCTATATGAAGATTGAGAATAACTCAAAATAATGAGTCAAAGTATCACATATTTACTAA